TAAACATTTGAGTGGTGACGCCCTTTTTAGTTGCATATTCAACAGCTAACAACACACAATAGAGCTCTGCTGTTGTACGGTGGCTGCAGTGCGGATTCTATTGACCTGCCACACATAGGGTTCTATCATAGAGCAGCCAGCAACCGAGTTTGTTTCAGTCCCATCTGGATAAGGACTTATGACCTGCCAGAGTGTGCTAGAAAAACCGAGTGGGGCCACCGGAGTGCTTTTTTGGTACCTCCGTATGTGAAAAAAAAAACGGCTAATTCAAGCCACTTCGCTCGTAGCGCCCTCTCGGGCAATACGAGCGAAGCGGTACGGATTAGCCTCTTTTTATGAAAAAATGCGTTTCGTTCCAACGCCAAGCTCGACCGGCACACTGGTCAACGTCATAGAAACGATAGAACGCCTGACTATATCTTTTATACAACCTAAACATCAGGCGTCACGTACATAAAGTCACCGCGACCTGACTTGTCGTCAAAACACCACAACGTCGTCACAACGCCGTTGACAACGACGACGATGTCAACGTTGACGTTGATGACGACGACGACAACGTCACGGGACGTGAAGATGACGGCGTCCTTATCAATCCAACGTCATAAGGACGCTTGGTGCCAGTTCGTGGACGTCGTTGTCGACATGACGCCACTCGACGTCACGAAGACGTCCCGACAGCTTCACGACGTCGACGTCATCGTTGACGACGTTAAACGACGTCAAGACTGCATCGGGACTGCGCGTCGACGCTGATGCTGGCGAAGGCGACGAAGGCTTCGGCGTGACGTTGACGCTCACGGTGACGTCAGGACGACGTTAACGTGACGTCATAGCGATGTTTGACGTTGCGTGGGGCGTGGACGTCAACGTCGGCATTGACGACCACATCGTCCTCGATGTGGCGCGCGACGTCATGACCACTTTACAAGGGCGACTTGATGCCGCGTAACGGCGTACTCTTCAACGCGACGTCATGACCTCGTTAGAACGGCGACTTGATGTCACCAAACGGCGTCGTCCTCGACGCGACGCGATGTCACGACGGCCTTACAACACCATCTTGGAGTCGCGTAACGTCGTCGTGTCGTGGTGCTTTGACGTTACCTCTAACGTCAAAATGATAAAAACCACGAAATAGCCTTTAAGGGGCTATGTTGCCCATATGATCTTGAGCTGTGTCGTTGCTCGATCGCAGCGAAGGTGGCGCTGCGATCGAAGGGGCTTGGTTCCACCTGATCGCTTTCAACATTTTGAGGTACAACTGAAAGCATGAGCGGAGCCTGTAGCTCGTCCCACTCGTTCCTTCTAGTGCACTCAAGCCTGGCTGTCGTTGCATGACCTTCTCTATACTCACCAAACCTGGCAGTTCGTCGACGGAGCCGTAGAGTGCCCGGTCGCAGATTCAAAACGCGAGGATCTGGTAGCAAAGAGCATTCCTGGTGGCAGAGAGCATTTCGGACGAGAAGCCGAAACATGGTTTTCAAACCCGACCAGAAAAGAAGGTGTAGCGCGAAGAACGCGAGGAGCACGAGCGGACATTCCATCGCTCGGGACAAGTGTGTTTCGGCGTCTCGCCGCAGCGGGGCGGCCGTCATGTGGCTCTCCACTCATCCGTTGTCTGCCGCACTATCTTTTCACTTTCGGCGGCCGCGTCTCGTGGCAACCTGCCAGTAGTGGTGCAAAACTATCGATAAATTGACAATCGATAGTATCGATAGTGTCGCAGAACTATCGATAGTCGACAACGTTACTAAAACACTCAGTTGGGAAACTCGCCGTCGAAACCTGGGCCGCTGGCGTCCACCGAGACCGAGCTAAATGCGACAACAGCGCCACTCTTTTTCGTTTGTCTGTACTATGGTCACCTCGAGCTTTTTGAAAGCCTGCTTTTTGCGTAAAAACAAACGGAAAAGACTCTTTTTGTATGAAATTTATTGGAGTTTAGTACCAAATGATGGGCGCGTGATGTTTTTATCATCTTTAGTTCGCAAGGTTTTGCGGAACAATTAATATTGTTTTTATAAAACCATGCCTCAGCGGGCCTTTCAGGTAGCGCGTCCCGACCTAGGTGCATTTTAACTTCAGTGGTTCAGCGCGGCGCGTCCGCCGGGGAGACGGGGGTTCACCCCTGTCAAAGCCAAAAATAGAAGTCACGTGCAGTTTCTCGAGTGGCCGCTGCAGGAGGAATGGTGGCGTTGTGTTCGTCATTAGCTCGGTGCTCGGAGACAGATTGGGGCCATATTTTTAGGGCTGTCTCTATGGGAGTTTCCCAACTGAGTGTTTTAGTAACGTTGATAGTCGACTATTGATAGTGCTATCGATAGTTTTTCGCTGGTTGACTGTCTATATTACTATCCATAATTTTTCAATAGTTTTTCGATAGTCGACTGTCTTAATACTATAGATAGTTTATCAATAGTACTATCCATAGTACTATTGATAGTTTTGTATTCCTAATGGTGAGTGCTTAAGCTAGTTAATGTTTCATTTGAAAAAAAGCCAGAAAAGAAGAAGGGGCAACGCGAACTACAAGTGCCGCAAAACTATCGATAATTTTTCAATAGTCGACTATCGATAGTACTAGTGATAGTTTATTACTATCGATAGTCAAATTAATGGCGACTATCGATACTATCGATAGTTTTGGCACTACTATCTGCCAGGCTTTGTCATTATAGAGGAGGCTATGGTAGTTGCTTCCACCGCTCGTGGCGACCGCATGAAGGCGCCAATTAACAGGGTGCATCATCGTCATGACGCGTAGTGTGCCTAGATTTGAGAGTGTTTACAACTGCTCGATTGGGGTCACATAGTCGCGATTGCAGATGAGCAACGAAGAGGGGAGCAAAGCGTTGGTCGTCTGCAAGCGTCTCCACCTTAAGTTTCTAATATGTGGAATAAAAATCAATTTCGAATCAAATACGAGTCCCGGAAACGTGTGTTCACTTTTTTGTGGCTACTGGTATTTCATACATATTTAAAGAATGGTCTTGCAGAACTTCAAGCCGGTGAGGGAAATACACAAAGGCTGTTTTTGTCTGGTGATAATTTAATACAATTTGAGTGAGCCCATCTTTGTAAATTGTTGATTGCAAGTTGGAACCGCGTTCGCATTTTGACGGATTGCAGGACGAAACACAAATTCCAATATCACCCGCGTGTGCGGAATATTGCATGGGCAATGAATTCATCTTTACAATAAAATGAAGACGTTTACAATGCCCCGTAGCGACGAATTAGAGCGCAGCTTACGAGAAGGAGGAGGGTACGCCCCTCATCCGTACCCCTCCTCCTCCTCTCCCTCTCCCCTCCCATTTAGTGGGAATCTTCCGCTATATTTAGCAGGAAATGTTCCCGCTAAACTTCGCTAGGAATGTTTCCTTTCAATTTAGTGGGAAACTTTTTATGCTATATTTAGCGGGGAAATTTTTTTTGGCTAAATATTTTGCGGGGAATTTTTTTCGCTAGATTTAGCAGGAAAATTTTCCCACTAAACTTAGCAAGGAATTTTTTCCTTTCAACTTAGTTGGGAAAATTTTTCGCTAAATTTAGCGGGGAAATTTTTTATTTAGCGAGGAATTTTCTCGTTAAATTTAGCAGAGAAATTTTCCTGCTAAATTCAGCGGGAAATGTTTTCCGCTAAATTAAGCGAAGATTTTTCCCGCTAAACTTAACGGGGGACTTTTCTGCTAAATTTAGCGAGGAATCTTTCTGCCAAATCTAGCGGGGAATTTTCCCGCTAAATTTAACGCGAGGTTTTTTCCGCTATATTTAGCGGGAAATTTTTTTCTGCTAAATTTAGCGGGGAAATTTTCGCTAAATTTAGCGGGAAACTTTTTCTGGTAAATTTAGCGAGGAAATTTTTTTCGCTAAGTGTAGCAGGGAAATTTTTCAGCTAAATTTAACAGAGAAATTTTCCCGCTAAAGTTAGCGGGAAAAGTTACCGCAAAATTTCTGGCTGCTTCCGCTAAATTTAGCGGGGAATTGTTTCCGATAAGTTTAGAGGGGAATTTTTTTCCCGCTTAATTTAGCGGGAAATTTTTCCGCTAAATTTAGTGGGAAATTTGTTCCGGTAATTTCCGCTAACATGAGTTCACACTATTAACTCATGTCCATCCCGTATACACTAATACAATCTAATGTATATTGTTTTATCACCATCATCAACCACTGTAGCTCTTTCTCCTTCCAAACCTTTGCTTCCATATTAGTTTATGCTCTTGGTGCATCTTGGCTTTAGCAGCCCTAGCGCTATGAAACCCCAATTAGTCTCTCAGTCAATTCATTCACTCCACACTCTGTGGTTGTGCACGTTTATGGACCGCGTCAGCAAAAACGTAAATTCGGACCCGTTGATCTCCGTATCCGATCCGCATCCGTAGCCCCTGGCACGCGGCCCCGGTCCTCAATCCGTCAAATATGATTATTTTTTTTATCGGCGTCGACCAGTTATTGTCTGCGGATATCCGCGAATAATCAGTGGCGGATAAGAAGGGGTCTAAAGATGTGTTAGCAGAGTGACCGCGGTTTAAGAAATGCCTTATTCCAAATATAGTCATAATAAAAGCACGTTTTGGATCGAACTCCCTCCTGCCGTGGAACGATATACAAGGCACACTCGATTGTGTCGTCACAGTGGCTGCTCTTTTAATCTATAGATAAACGGAAAGTCAATACAAACAGCTCGTCTCTTTCGTGGTTTATACTTTGAAACATTTTTCGATCAAACAAGGAATATCCTACCTTATAGTGAAACAGTGAAATCCGTTCTTTAATAGTGAAACCCGTTCTTTAAAAGAAAAGGGTAATGGCCTTTCTGTCCTTTAATGATTCCTGTAAATTTAGGGCTTCTTCCTGATTGTCTGTTTTGTTTAGGGAGCCCGTGCTGACTTTCTCACACCCAAAGAACACATTCTGTAATACACGCGATGAAGTGTTTTTTTTTTTTTTTTTAAGTGCTTTAGATAAAACATCGTGCCATCGCTTTGTTTTTAAAGGTTACGCCTGAGGCCGAGGGTACTCCGGAACGTGGCTCAGAGAAACATGGAAGTCACTCTGCTGGGAGATCAAAGGCTTTCCATGCCGCTTGCCATCTCACCAACGGCATTCCAGAAGAAGGCGCATTCAGACGGGGAATTAGCCACAGCCAGAGGTAAGTCTGCAATTCGGGAAGTCTAAGACTCCAGTTATGATTATAGTTACATACAGGCTATGGTTTAAAAAAAAATACTCGGAAATTCCAGGAACGACAAAGCTGATGAAGCTAACATCAACTGTTAGCTTCAAGAGGATTTCAGGAATTACAACTGTTACATGTTCGCTTCAATGTGGCGACAACAACAAAACGCATTGGCAGATTTCCGCAAAAGCAAACAAATTTGAAAATATCCAAAAGGTGCAGATGTTCTTCGAGCTCGTCTTTAAGAACAAAACACGATTTATTTTTGGTGTTGAAACATATTTTAGATCAAGAAAAAACAGAGTAGAGCAGAGGATAACATGAAAATATTAATATAACACTGAGTGACACGAAACTTTTACAAGGTTGATTCAGCCTTTTGCAAAAGGTTTATATATTTTATAGAACAACAATGAAATTTAAGAACTGTTAAACAATCGTCACAAGACCTATATATATATATATATATATATCATCCCATTGCTTTGAATAGCTGATACTTGGAAAATCACCAGCTGTCCAGGAATCAGGTGTACCATCTTTCATCCTACTTGAAGAAATTAGTTTTTTTTCGATTTATCCTAAACAAATAAATGATATAAAAACCGCTTCTAGGTTGACGGCATAATAGACTGCGAAAATCCTCAATGATTTTAATGATCGATTAGTAAAAAAAATCAATGCCAACAACAAAGAAAATATTTTATTTCTGTCCAATTTATGTGATTAATCTGTAAGCCAAAACAAAATATGGGAGAGCTCTCAGTGTCAACAGGTTCTGTACTGGAACCATGCATCCAAGGATAGCTTAGAGAAGTTCCTAATTTATCATCAATAAACTTAGCAATATTCTGGCTTTGGCATACCTTCTCGGTTAACAAGAGTACTAGATGTCTTTCATACGAATATTCAGATTTTAGCGCTTTAATTGAAGTGGCAATTTTTTTTTATTTGCCACTGCCAACGAGGTTATGTGCAGGCAATCAGTAAAGTATTCTTCTTTTTCGTTTAGAATTGCCTATAGTGAAGACTGCCGGATGCGACACACCTCCTAAATGACGCGATACTACAAAAAATAATATATTTATGAGACTTGCTTTGCATATCCTATAGCCAATGGCCGGTAGAACAGTCTTGAACGACTACGATTTGGGGAAGAGGAGGAAAATGGCAAAGGACCACACAAGGTGTGCCGCGATTGGCAGCGGGAGCTACTACGTTATGGAAAGGCCCTTTCGAGCGTGGAAGTCGTGGTCCTGCGTCCTTTGTAACTCTCGTGCCGTTGAGGACCTTTACCTAATTTGTCCAGCGCGACGCGCCTGTCATGGCTGCTCCTCGGACGCAGTGCGACGCTTGCGTGGCTTGGCCGTAAGTGTTGGAAAGTTAGCAAGGGGCACCCGTGACCGCGGCTGCGGTGGGCGAAGCGAAAGTATGTAAGCGGGCTGTTCTGTGGAGGCGCGGAGTGCACGCAGAACGGAACCTGGCTTTGTGAGAGACGACAGTGAGAGGGAGGTCAGTGCCTCTGCTGTAGTGTGGTGATTTGCGTTCGTACATGAAATATGTTTTTGCCAGGAAGTGGCGCTAACCTCTATCACTCCAAAAAAAAAAAAAAAAAAAAAACTGCGGTATTTGAATTTTTATCCGCCATGTTCCACCCACAGCGGCCCTGAGAGCTGGTACCCTGATGGTGCTGAGCATCTACAGCACCACCTCGTTCGAAGACGTGAGGCAGGCTGCACCAGAGGGACTTCAGTGGTTCCAGCTGTACATTTCCCCCGACCGTGAAATCACCAAGACTCTCGTGATTCGGGCTGAGAAGGCTGGCTTCAGGGCTCTCGTAGTCACTGTGGATACACAATTGTCTGGAAAGATAAGCAGCAAGGCCAGGATCGGTTTCAAACCACCCAGAGTACCGAAGTGCGTTGGGTTCTGGCATAAATGTAGTACTTTGTTTTTTTTTTGTTTTTTTTTTATATCTCAGCGATATCTCTAGGTAGTGTTTACCAGCAAATTTTTAAAAGTTCAATAAGTACTGTTCAGAACATTTAGGAAGCACGATTGATAACCTAAAACACCTCTTACACGCCAAAAAAAATTATTTTCATGCTAGGCGTTAAAATGGTGCATCAGGACATCATCAAAAATTGTTTCACTTTAGAGTTGCGTAGTTTCTTTCATAAAAAATAGAAATACAAAGCCCAATTCAGAGTGCCCGCCAGTGCCCTGTGACGCAAGAATGTACCGCAAAATGTCGGGTTGGTTAGAAGGGAGGCATCGCCGGAAGTTACGAGAAAAAGACGAAGTCAAGCGCCCTGTTCGGACGTCTTTCTGCAGCTCTGCGCTCACCCCTGACCAGCTCCGAAATCTTCGCCTCTTTGTGGGAACGTTCCCCTTACAAGGACACGGAACGGTAGCCGTACCCGTGGATACAATTCTTACCCCGGTCAGTCGTTTTTTCTTCGAGACCTAGGACTTTTCCTTCCTGACAGTGGGGTAAAAAGCTAACCCTAACGCTTCGAAGGTCGCCGGTACGGATCGGGACTACGGCCCCATGGAACTGAACACGGGAAACGGCCCGAACAGTACGGCCAGTCAGCCACCGCAAACCAAGGGAAACAAAGCTCAGGCGGGAACTGGAATGGAGAACGCCGAAACTTCGAGGACTGCCACGTCCACCGAGCAAGTCCGAAACTATAGCCAGCAAGATGTTCTTGGAGACGTAAAGAGCACACCAATACTAGCACTTGAGGGTGATCCCAATTTTTCTTGGACAGACATTGTCGGGAAGAACACTAAGAAGAAGCGGGCCCGCGCCGAAAGACTACAGGGCAACGACCCAAGTACGTCAAATCGGCAAATCGAAAACAACAAAAAGGCGACCGGCAAGGGCGATGGCGTGAAAGATGGCGGCCCTCCAGCGATTCCCACCTCGACCTACAGAAATGGCGGCCACCGGAAATCGAAACCCAGGAAGGAACTTCTACCTCCGCTTCCGCTGGATCACCACAAGATAGTGATAACACCCCAAGAAGGATTCACCGTCTCGAATTGGTCCGCTCTCAAAATATCGAAAGCCGTAACCACAGCAGCAAAACTAAGTCCCGAGGAGCTTGCAACATCCCGAGTCCGGATTTGAAAGGAGCAGAATATTATCGTCCTAAGTACGCCCGACATCGAACCGGCGAACAGAATGGCCAAGGCAAAGACCATCACACTCAAAGACCGACAATACGAAATAGCTGCGTAGAAAGCTGCCCCCGACAGCTCCTGCAAGGGAGTCATCTCCTACATAGGAGAGAAATTCGCGCCCGAGTATTTCACCGAAAACATCCGAGCAACCAGCCCAACGGGTCCCGCCGTTTTCTACGCCAGGATCATGGGACAGAAGGACTCCGTTATCATCACCTTCAAGGAACTTCAGATTCCTCGACTCGTCCTCCTGGACAACGCGGAATACCATTGTCGCCCCTATCTACCTAAGGAGCAGGTCTGCGATGCCTACCTCGGCCACGGACATGGGAAAGACGTCTGTCCGCATCCAGAAAAAGGCAGGGGAACCGCGAGTGTTCCCCTCCGAGGGAACACTCGCGGTTCCCTCGGAGGGGCCATGGAGGATCACGTTCGCTTTCCTCACTGTATTCATTGCGAAGGGTACCACCCCTCCAACGATCCGCAATGCCCAGCACGACGCAAGGCGCCGCGTACAACAAGACCTGGGTTCAAAAACAACAAACACAAAAGAGAAATCTGCAACAGGCGGAGATCTCCATCACTCAGAACATCCGACCCGATACAGTCTCGCAACGCAGAGAACTCCTACCACCGACAAGAAACTCTCAAGCCCACTGGCCGGCACTGGGAGCCAGGGGATTCGAGACTCCGAACCCATACGCTCTCATTGGCTCGGGACTAGAAAGTTACACTCTAACTCTTGCCCGAGCTTCGCACGCAACGCAAGGACCCATCGTTGACCCGACGGACACAGGACCGTCGGGCGGAATCCGAGGAAGACCCCAAACTAGGAAAAAGTCCCAAGTGAAGAATCAGCAACAGCCGCAGCAGCTGCCCCAACTATTGCCGCAGCAGCAGGGAGGAAGCCACCGGCAGGGCCCCTCAGGACTCGCCGCTGTCAATACTCAGGTGAGCTGGGACGAGCGGCCTCCCAACCCCCCCCCCCCCTTCCCCCCCCCCTCCCCCCGCTCCCCGAAATTCCTTTTCAACCACCCAAATTCCTACTGCCCCGGTAGTACTCGGTGACTCGAAAACTCCTCGTCCGCCGCCCGCCAAACGCGCCGCGCTCGACTCTACGGCCGAGAAAGACGATCTTGAGAATCGCTTAGAAAAATACATGCACCAAATCCTTGATCACACTCGAAACGAGATGCAGTGCAGGCTCCAAGCCTTCGAAAAGCACAGGGAGGCAAAATTTCAAAGGCAGATCTAAGCCCTTAGTGCCCAACTAAACAGCATGATAAGAAACTAAATCCAAGCGCTGGGACAACGTCTCTAATCACGTTTCGGCGGTCCTTGTCCAAATATGTGCGAGGACCCTCAATGCCCCTACCCCCCGCCCGGGCCAGGAGGCTATGCCGGGCGTAGACCAGAGCCGATTGGCGACGGACCCCCCATAGATCTGAGACTTAAGCCAAACTCTGAAAGCCCTCCTCCCCCGCCTGATCAAAACACAATCAACCAACAACACTTCCAGCAAGACCCTGCACCGCAACCGACTCAAAGTCTTAATTTTCAGCATGGACAGGGCAGCCCCCAGTAGATCCGATCAGGCAAATTCTAAAACCGCGCGAACCGGTGCGGCTCGGGTGTGGCAGTGGAACTGTAGGGGGCACCGCCGCAAACGCGGGGCCCTCACACGGTTTCTCGCCACACAAGAGCAGCAGCCGGACGCTATTGCCCTACAGGAAGCGGGCTGCGTACCGTCACTGTCGGGCTATATCGCTTTTTGTCAAGAAACAACAAGCGAAGAGGAAAAACTTACGAGTTTCGACCTTAGCATCAAAACATATCCCGGTAAGAGAAAATTCACTAGAAACCTCAATACCATACGTCTTCCTCGAACTCCTGCCGCAGAAGAGGGGCCACTGCAGTTTATTCCTGCTGAACGTGTACAGCTCTCCGAGCAAATCCAAAGACACGTTCAACCATCTCTTCCGAGATGCACTCCGCATAGCCAGCCTCAAAGACAATAATCTCCCCATAGTAGGCGACTTTAATTCAACACATACCACCTTAGGGTATGCCAAGGCCTCTGCAAAAGGGAGGAAGCTGATGAATGCCATCGACGTCTATCGGTTGACTCTCCTGAGCGAACCCGACCAGCCGACCAGGATCGGCAATAGCATTAGTCGCGACACTTGCCCCGATCTGACGCTTGCCAGAACCCGAGATAGTTGCATTTGGACGAACGATGGGGAGAGTTTGGGCTCAGATCATCTCATCCTCGAGACCGAAGTGCCCGTTCAACTAAATTGAAAGCGAGGCAAACCGCAACGGCTCGTGAATTGGGACTGGTTCCGACAACTCCGATCGGCTGCGGCTAAAGGGAACCCCATAAGGGGTGATGAACGAGCGTTGGAGCGATGGGTACAACAAATCCAGGAAGATGTCGAACGGGCGACCAAGACGATCCTAGCGAGTGACAAGGCTCCCGTGGTCGACCCTCACCTTCTCCACCTCTGGGAGGCTCGTCGCAGCCTTACGAAGAGGTGGAGACGACAAAAATACAACCGGAAGCTTTGGACGCGCATTGCGAAACTCACGCAGGAGGCCAAACAATCCGCCGAAGAGTTAACTCAAACCAATTGGCACAAACTCTGCGACCAGCTGCAGGGTACCCTATGCACGAATCAGACCTGGAGCCTACTTCGTACCATCCTTGATCTGACCAAAACCAAAGTCGAATCGAGCAAAGCGCTGACCAAACTTTTACATTCCCTGCCCAGAGAAGGAGACCGACTCTGGGAAACTCTAATTGAGCGGCATATCACCGCAGACCCCAGGCCCGAGTACCCATCGTACCCGCACAACGAAGGGGATAGCCCTCACCCACTAGACGAGGACATAACCGAGCAGGAGGTCCGGAACGCTATCCAGAAGATCACTCGAAACACTGCCCCAGGCAAAGATGGTGTTACGTACAGGCTTGTTAAGAACCTGGATGACGACTCGATCTCAACCCTGACTGGAAACTTCAACCAAGTATCGACCACTGGGGAGCTCCCAAGAGAGTGGAAGCGTGCAGACATTACGCTAATCCCCAAGCCGGGCAAACCTCTATCACTCCAAAACCTCAGACCGATCTCTCTCACCTCCTGTATTGGCAAATTAATGGAACACGTCGTGCTCCGTAGACTCCAACCGCATCTAGAATCGATTAGCTTCTTCGCAGATTCAATGTTCGGCTTTAGACCGAACCTCTCCACTCAGGATGTTCTTCTGCAACTCAAGAAGGACATCCTAGATTACCACGGCACGGCTCAGACCGGGGCCGTGCGGACTCTGGATCTTAAGAGGGCCTTCGACAACGTATCGCATGACACAGTACTCGAAAGCCTAGCCCGTGCCCGATATGGGAGACGAACGTACGATTACGTAAGTTCGTTCCTCAAGGACAGGATCACCAGCCTAGGGATAGGAGACCAACGTTCCGGTCTCATACTACTCACCGGCTGAGGAGCCCCTCAGGGCTCGGTCCTCTCGCCCACTCTCTTTAACATCGTCATGGCGGGGCTCCCCTCGATCCTAAACAACATCCCGAGAATTCTACACTCGCTATATGACGACGACATTACGGTCTGGGTCGAGAGCGGCTCGGACGGAGAGATCCAGGACGCGCTGCAGACAGCTGCGGATGCTAGCCAGGAGTACGCCAGAGCGGCCGGACTGTCTTGCGCTGCGGA